AATTTATGCGATTCGTTAAGTTTGTAGAAGAAAAACTGATTTATCTTTTAGCTAAAGCAGAAAATTTACGAAATTTCCACATCAAATCAAGGATTTAAGATGTTTTAAATCAATAAATATAAATCATTTTAACAATGGCTATCAATAATTTATTTATTTTAATTGAAATTCGAGCAATGAAATTATTTTAATATTTTAGTTAAATTGTAATTGAAAACAAATTTTTCAATTTTGATTTATTTTGGCGGTCGCATTTGCCTAGCCGTGATTCAAGTGAATTATTTTAAAGCTAATTATATTTTTAAATTAAGCTTATAATTATGTTAATGGACCTACACATATTCAAACTGTTTAATCAGCACGCTCTGACACCATTGCCGTCAATAAAGTCCACTTGTCAACTAGCCGGCCAGCAACTGTTGTGGCTTACAGTGTGCACTATGCACATTACACATGCACACACATGCACCGATACATAGAGTAATATATGTATATATAGTAATATACAGTCACATGCATTTACGCTTGCATACATTGTGTTTCACCCTATCATATTATGCCCTCCGTGGGCTTGGCACTGTGAACCGGCGCGCACGCCTTTGTTTGAGCCGCCAATGTTGTCAGCGCCCTTTGTTTGGCCAAGCGAAGTAGGAGAGTTAGAGGCAGAGACAGGAGCAGGACCGAGAGCTGAGGCAGAGGGCTGAGCTGGGGAGTGTGGTGGCCTGGTGCGAATTCGATGACTGCGTCTGCGGTTTGTCGTAGGTCTGCGAGCGTTGTGCTACTTGCTACTTATGGGGCATGCCGCACCTCTGGTGCTGGTGTTGGTGCTGGTGTTGCTGCTGCTTCTGCTTCTGCTAGTAATAGTCGTTGTTTTCGGTTGAGTTGCCTACCCCAGCTGTGTTCGGTAGGTAGGCAGAAACACCATGCATGGTGCCATTGTCGAATGGCGTACATCTTCTGTTTCGCGTTTGACTTGGTGCTTGCCAGCAGAGTCGAGCCCCAGCACGCCACGGCGTGCTGAGAAATTGGTGGAACAATGTGTACAAGGTGGTCCTAATGGCGCATGCATACATACATGTGCACATAGGTATATTAGCTAGCTCTCTCTCTCTGCCGCCCGTGTCGCCCATTCGATGTGTCATTAGACGCATGAAACGCATAATTTTCGCATAAAAGCCCAAAGCTGCAGCTGATACTAATCAGCAGCGTTTGATTATGAGTTTTAGAAGCTGTCTCATTCGAGAATGATTCAAGTACTTCGTAAATTACTTTAGTCTCGCCGTATGTGCAGTTCTGCGAAACTGCTTAAACAGTTATAAAGTTTGCACCGACCGCAATCTAGAAGCAATATGATAATCACGTTAAGTTGCGAGTCCATTGAATACATGCTACAATAAAAACGGCCGCAGGATTGTTTAAGCATAAGTGGTTGCAACCCCTGGCAGTGAAGCACACGTGAAAGTGCTAACGTTTATGTTGGCTTGATTGTGGGTGGGATTTGTGGTAAATGGGCCGAGCTGAGGGAGAGTGCGTGCGGATATGCTTGCGTATGTGTGTGTGTGCGCCCTAGGGTGCGAACTGATTGCGAGCTATTTTTGTGTGTTTCAAACAAAATGGGTGTTAAATTGAATTTATCGCTTGACCAAAATGATTTTGCGCCTTTTGCCTGCCGCACGACACCTTAATTAAATTTCACAGTTTTAGTTTATTTTTAAACGAAGTTGACAACGAAAACAGGTCATTAGGAGCATTATCGCATCATAATTCTGTCAGTGCGATAACAAAGCTCTCAATTCAATTTAACTACCACACATGGCGCCCTGCCTCTGCCTCTACTGCTCGCCGTAAGCGGCCTACAGATCTTGCTTATGTGGATTTTGAGGCCCGGTAAAGCTCGGTGCGTATACCAAACACGGACTGCGATGGACCCGGGGGAGTGTCAATGGGTAATGGGTATGGGAAATGCATGTACTATGTATACAGACAATACATGTGTGTGTGTGTATCTGAGCTCTGGGAGTGAGCCAGATTCGTTGTATTCATATGTAGTTGGCCAACTGAGACTGTTTTCAGATTGCCATCCCCCCGAGAGAGTCGCTCTATAGCTGTGAGGCGGTTGGGCTACATCTATTATAGTATATATGAATGCAGACGACAAGCGATATTGTATCATGTTTGATGTTGTTGCTGTTGTTGCTGTTGTTGTTGTTGCTGCTGCTGCTGCTGGTGTAATATATAATTTGGGCAGCAGCACAATCAAACATCTGTCAAGTGCTTTACAAAATTGGGGCCTTGTTTACTTTTTATCAACGTCGCCATAAATGAACTTGTCCAAACGGCAAATGGCTCCTGTTCATGTGCATACGAATATGTTTGCATGCATAAATGGCAACTTTTGAATATATTAGTTGGATCGTTTACAGCAATCAGCGTGTGGCTGCCACTCAAAAGTGTCTGTGAATGTTCGACCGCCCCTCGAGCCCTTCGATCCCTGCCATCCGCATATCGTCCTTGACAACTGTCTGTTGCCCAAAAGTCTGCGTCCGATTTCTGGTTCGTTTCGCTTTACTTGACGCTCGGGCTCGGGCGGCATTTCAAACGTAAAATGCCAAGTAGGCATTTCGGCCATAAGAATTTGCATAATTTACTTAGTTGAATATCCGACAACCGGCAAAGGGACACTCGCCAGCAAGCAGGCAATAGGATCAACCATACAGCACGATAGCCAGTTAACCAGCCAGCCAGCCAGCCAGTCAGCCGACTGACATCAATGGAGATGTTGTTTCTTCTCTTGTCTGCCAGCAATGCCAGCAACAGCTCTTTATTCAAGTATTTTGGCAGGGCGGAGCACAGGGAAAACGCTGTTGATAAAGTTTTGCAACTTAAAGTGGCGCAATTCGAACAGCAAAGAGTGATTCCCATTAAGTGTGTCAGTTGATCCCTGTTCATCGACTGTTATAATAATCCATTTACATGTCTACCTTTAAGTCCTTGTCGTTGCGTGATTGTGTGTGGGTGTTTGTGTGTGTGTGTGTGTGTGTGTGAAAGTGTCTGGTTTGCAGAATGTAATTTGCATAACATTTGAAAATTGTCCCGAAAAGTGACACATTTCAGTAGCCCACACGTTAAAGCGACTTAAATGATTATATAATTGTTATTTATTTAACCTAATTATAATTTCCACTACTATTACAATTTGCCCTACTCTCCCTCTATATGTTATTGTTACCCGAGTATGACAGCTTTGTGTGCATTGTGGGCATTTTGTGGAATTTCGAGAAAATAATTAATAATAAATCATCGGTCGTGCAAAACTTGTGCAATGCGTCAATATCTTTTGTAATTGAAGTAATCAGAAATAAGCTATATTTAATGGTTAGCTCAATGCACTAAATTCTTATTGAATTCGAACCTTGGCAGACTACAGCTCAAGTTTCTCCTTCAACCGCATGTGAGTGTTTCGAGTATTTGAAATTCCTTAGGTGTTCAATGTGTTGATTTTATGGTACTCAATAGGAGCATGTAAAATCCACTTGAATGGTTGCTTGTTCGACTTGCTGTATGCTCTTACTCTACTGCTGGTAGAGTGTCTGAGCTTGATTTACGAATGGCCATGAAATTAACATCTGTTTACTTATATCGAGCGTCACTAATTGCTCCAGGCATTCCCCACACACTCTCTCCCTCTCCCTCTCTATAAGGCGCTATCATCTCGAATACATATGCACATGCACACACACACACACACATGTGCATCCGCTGCGCTTCACAATTCTGATTGATTTTATGTGACTTGTAAGTAGATTGTCATAGATGGTCGCTGCCCTCGTCGAGAGCTACCCGAAATATTTGTTTTTATGACACTCGGTCGCCCTTCCCGTGCGCCTCATGAGTTTGAATAATTTGAAAACGAAGCGCTCACAGAATTTAAAGTGAAACTGACTCAATTCTGGGGGAAATAGCGAATGCCGCTTCAAATGAGTCGGGACGACTCTACACATATGTGTTAAATATGTATACATATACATAGATATACCCATATATTTTTACTTCCTATGAAAAACTTTCAGAGTCGGCGACTGTGGACAATGTTTGATGTGGCTGACACTGGGCAGGCGGACGCGAAGTCGTGTTTCGTATTTCTATGTCTTCTCGCATTTCAATTTTAAAGGCGCCATGAATATAATACAAAATATGAATAACAAATTTACTTCATTATCATTGTCCGTTAATTTTGTTATCTATTTAGTAACCATAAAATAATAGCTTAATAAATAACTTTCTTCGCAATATTTTCTGTAATATTCTAGGATAAATGGAGTTTCAATAAAAGCTTACTAGAAAAGTTAAATACGACAGCAACATCCTTTTCACAACACTGCAAAAGTTGAAGTTGGACAACGCACCCAGTCGAGCTTAAAAGCTTATCATGAAAGTGGTTGATATTTGAGCTTGCAAAACTTTTGCGACAGGGTGTAGCAGCTTGCAAGGATTCTCTATTTAAGTAAAGGCTGCAACCGAAACTTTTTGTTCATAAGGAAATGATTAATTTTTATTAACTTTTTGTTCATAAGGAAATGATTAATATATTATAAAGATTTTTTCAATTATATTTGAATTTTTTATATGAAATTTAACACTAAAGTTAAGTAAAGAATTTTTAAAAACAATTAAATTAGTTGTTATTCTTAACATATAGAATATATTGTATATTCATATTTATTTTGAAGTGTCTTAGAAAATTTGAGCTCAAATGAAGCCCATTAAGGAATGAAAAGAATTTTGTTATTATCCTTGCGTAAATGTTGAAGATTCTACAACTAACTAACAGCACATATAGAATGTTTTAGCAAATATTATTTATTTATATTGTTCTTATACATATTATAGGTACTATATGTTATATGCATACATTTCGTAAATTCAGTTTATGTATTTTGAATAGTAATAGTCACAAATATGAAATCGTACGATATTAAATACTTCTGAATTGTAGCAAACACAAGTAAAAGATCTCTGGTTTTGTTACCTGATATTAAATATAATAACTTTTACATTCTAATTATGTGCTTTGTTTTTAAATTCACTAAGTACGAAATTGTTTTTTATTTATTTATTTTTTTTTAATTCAACTGCTATGACTCTCACAGCGTAAAGAACTCACCGTGGTTTTGTGGGCTGAAAATGTTCTGAATCGCTTGAGCCAGCATGAATTCACTCAACAGCCATAATAAGATAAGAGCCATAATTCAATTCACTTCTTGTAACACACGCACAAAAATCACTGGCACTGTGTAAGGAAATGTTCACGAAAGCGCTGGTTGAAAGGAGACGCTCCGCGTTGGTAGGTAGGTCTGACACGGCTGACGTTGGCCGAAGAAATGAGCAACTGCGTCAGGCAAAGTGCAGTTCAAAGGATAACCAGCATATGTATTGTTTGCGTGCTGGCGCATGCATCACCCAAGCTCTGTATCCGCACATGTGTGAAAGGACAGTTGCCCCCGTGATTCGGTAGTCTAGACAACTCCAAAAGAAACAACGACACCAAGAGGTGGCCAACCATCTACGGTAATGTGTGCACACACGGGCTTTTGCATATGCTACATGGGCTTGGCCAGCTAGCAGCTAGCAGGTACCAGCTATGAGCTATGAGCTCTAGATGTAGATGGTTAAACCTTTGCGCAGTAATGGGCGGGTCCTTTACTTACGTATAAGCTTCGACGTTTGCCGCTCTGCCGCTTTGCTGGGCAGGAAAAGGTGCAGCAGTGTGAATGTATTTTAAGCGCAGCTCCTACCAACAAATCGTTTCTAACCATTCGCCACTTTAGTTAAAGCTTCAGATTTAAAGACTTGAATCAATGAGACTAATTTGAAAGGATTTGCTAGATTTTTATTGTAAAAATTCACTACAAGTGCTAAGCTCAAATGAAGCATAAGTCCATTTCTAATACAATATATACACAAAGAGAAAATAATATACATATTTATATTAATATTTGAATACCGTTTAAAATATTTTTGGGCTCATGACTGTTTAACAGCACTTTGTTTTATTAATTTGCCCGAGTGTAAGAACACAAAAGGCCATTGTGATACACGACATCGGCTTTACGGCCGTTTGAGCTCCAAAAGATGCTGGAACTTCGTTAAAATGACAAAGCGAAATAAAACTGACAATTACTGGATGGGTGTCGTGGTTATCGCGACCTTCAACATTGCTGTTATCGTTGTTGTTGTTGTTGCTGATGTTGATTGCCAGAGACAATTGGAGACTCATTTACATTTACCAAATGAATGTGAATGTGTCGGCATGTCGAGAACGATGGCTGGTATTCAGTGCCACCTTCCATCCATATGACGGCATTGTTCGCCCAAATGCCTATAAGCCGTGCAAATTGAATTGCCACGGTTACGAAAGGAACGTCAGCCTTGCTTCCACGATGACTCTTCAATGAGCTTTCAAAACTTGACAAGCTGCCCTTCGCCTTCTCTGCTCCGACAACAGCTGCTTCAATCGCTTTATGACAAATTCCATAATTTCCTGACAAATGAGCTCACAATTATAGCCCAAATCGTTTATTCGAGATGAAATCAGTCAAATAAAAATGCCAATTGACAACAAATAAAATGTTTTCCTTTTTTTTTTACTATGTATTATACTGGTTGCTGACCCAGTGTAGTTTTATATATTTATAAAATATACATATATACATTGCTACATACATATATATGTAGATAAATAACATGGGATAGTCGATTTTAGATGCATGATTTTATGAAGCTTATAGAGCATGAATATGAGATAAAATTATGTGTATATACTAAAGCATAAGACTCTGGTCTTTGATATGAGCAATTCTATTTAATTTTGTGTAGACTATTAAATGAAAAAGATAATGCTTATGCTTATCGGGTCATAAGGATATAAATTTTCATCAATAATAAGTATGCTTAGAACTTGTCAACTTGAACTGTTAGTTGTATACAATGTAACAGTATATAAAATTAATGTGGGTAGTTCTTAGGATTTTTCATTTACTTTCTGATCAGCATATAAATGGACAGGTAAGCAGACACACAGACAGATAGACGGACGCGCGAAGGATATAAGAGGATATGTAAATGAATGTTTATATTTAAAAAACTAGGTTAAGTTACTGCTTTAATGTGTAGTCGCACATATATTCCTATAATTTCTTTAGATAATTTAATCAGAGCTTATAGCTTTGACTAATAGCCTAGCGGTTTAATCAATGTACAATTTACTTACATATTTGTGTTCAGCCTCACTGTGTACTTTCTGTTAGTCAAAATCTAGAATTGCTGTCGGCAATCTGTGTTTTATGACATGCGACGTACTAAACATATATACACATACATATGTATAGACCCACATTAAAGTCCCTTGTATCCTGCTGTCAGTGTAGAGACGAAATTCAATTTTGTAAATTGCGGCCATCACAATGAATACGCAGAGCTGAGAGTATGCAAAGCGGCAAACATTTGGTTAAATGCCAACAAGGGATTAATAGAGTAAACCAAAAGCGAAACAGCCGCAGAAATATTGCCAACGGTATTTTTATTTAACGAGAAACAATCACAAAATATCACAAAGTTTCCGCCGTCCTTTATTAGGTGTCAACACATGCAGCCCAACAATGTGCCCCGAGAAGGTTTTCGACTTCAAGTTTTTGGGTTGCGGCAGCTCAACTGTCCTTATTTTGTTAAGAAACTATTTAATGGGTTTTGTGCGCCGCCGTTCGTCCAATGGCGAGCCCCAACACTTTAGAGTTTAAGACCAGTCCCCAGAGTGCACCATGAATTTCATTATGCAACTTGGCAGGAGCTCCTGCTCCTGCTAATGCTCCAGCTCCAGCTCCTGCTGCTGACAAGGACACAATCAAACAACCGATTTATGTGGAATTTCTGAATATTCTTCTTTTCGGTTGTTTGTTCCCTTCAGTGAATAGCTGAAATATTCGTAAATAGTTGAACACTTGAGGGCTGACCAATTGATTGGGTTTTTATTGTCAAGTAATTCCAAGCTCAATAAAGCTATTTGGCCACAAAAATTATTGCGCAGTAAACTAATCAATTAGAAGAAGTTTGGGTATGTGTCAGAGCGAAAACTTATCTAATGCATCTTAACTTATTCAACTCCATTCTCCTTTCTAACTTTTCTGAATGCATTAATGTTTATGAAATTTCAGGCGCAACTCCTTCCTCGAGTTGTCTATTCGATTCCCTAATTGTTTTTTGAGTCCACACGCAATTTACATATTTAAAGAGCTCAACGATGAGCCGCTCGCAGGTGGCTTGGCAATGGGGAAAACCATAAGAGGATATGCTTCAAGGTCGACTGCGTTAAATGAGATATTCTATCATAACGGCATTGCTGCTGATAACGTTTATAATACAGAACAGGCAATATTCAGACACGGACAAACTTCTGGGTAGTTAGCCTTGTTAGGGACTTGGCAGCGCGTCAATGTCATTTATGCTGTTAAACAGACATTAAGCAAATAGATACGTTTAGATAAACAAGGTACAGGGCAACGTAAACCTCAAAGTTATCCCACAAAGTTACGCTGGCTGCCTGCCATGGCTGTGACCAATAAAAATTTAGACGCTTAATGACTTAAATCACTTTAAGACTCAATCAGCATCTCGCTGCTGATTTATAATGATATGAGTGGGACTTTGAGCAGCTGAGAGGAGGGATGAGGAGTGTTTAAAGAAGGATGCTTGTAATGTTCATCCAACTAATTGGCTTATTGTTCATAAATTAATAATTTCATTAAACAAAGCCCATTTAATCCCTTTTAATCTAAATACATAGTATACTTATATACATAGGCCTCGTTTAAATTTCGTGAATGCTTTGTTTAGTTTAAATTTAAGAAATTTGAATGCCATATTTGGCTAGTTCTGTTAATTCGATGTCATTGTTCATTGACGACTGCTGCGTGTGTCCCATCTTGCCTTGGAGTCGAGATGGAAAGCTCTTGCAGCCTGCTGTGCTCTCACTGGGCATGGCTAGTTGTACTGCTCGCACGCACAGGCAGCTGGGCGAGTGCTGTTAGAGCAGTGAGACTAGAGCGCGAACGCTGCACGGGCGAAAGCTTTGGCTGTCTGTTGGCAGTGCTCTTAAATTTGTTGAAGTACCTCAGCATCTCGCATCTCGCAATCTCTGCACGAACATTCGGAAAGCATCCTTATCTTGGCTCGTGTATCGTGCATCGTTCAAGTACTTGGCTCGTTTCTATGCCAAGTGCTTGGTTTCAGTCCTGCCTCGTTTCGCACCACAGTCAGAGCAAATCTCAGTCATTCGGACGCAAGCGACCAAAAGACCCCGCCGAGCCTGGCGGTTCCCAAGTTTTACGTGTTCCCAACGCAGCTAGTGGCACGTTTCCGTTGCCGTGAAAGTGAATTGAATAAGTGCAAGTACAATTTTGGAAAAGATTTTTGGAATTAAAATGGAATAAATCAATCAATCATCAAATGCTTAAAGTGAAAGAAAATATCAAGCAAAAGGCCAAAGAGAAAGTGAAAGTGAGCCTAGTGAAAATTAAATGCGAAAAGTTCAAGCAAAAGTCAAACTACAAGAATTAGGAAAATACTACAAGTTTGAGAAAATTAAAGCAATCTTGTCGTGACTCAACTTATTTTGTTGGCCGCAATGAAGCTTGTGTGCGAAATGGTTTTGTTTTTCTACCAATTTGCAAATATGTGGATGAAATTGTGAAAATTGTTTGGCCATAATTTTCCGCAAATTGCGATTGAAGGGGTCGATGGCAAATCAGTGAGAACCAAATTTGAATCGCAGCTATTCCCCCTTGTCGGCGACTCACCGAATTAATGTCCTCGAGTGAAATGTGTTGTTAACGGAACCCAGCCAAAAGGGTCCTCCGGGCTCCATTACAAATAGATTCAGCCAAGCAAACAACAGCAAAGGCTACTTAAGTGATAAATAATCATAAATACAAGTGTATAAATATTCATTTGTTTGTGCCTGTGCTCGATAGAAAACAGATTTCGAACAATTCTGAGAAAGTTCTATAAGCCAAATGACGAAATGCGAAATTGTGCGAAATCTAAATAGTGATACTACGGCCTGGCCAAAAATAAATGCAAAGCCAAATTGTCATGAAATTGGACAAGAGAAACGAGCTTAGCTGTGACTTTGATTGAATACGTCCAGGCCTCGACTGCCTCGAGATATTAGCTTACATTGACGGGCAATTCACAGCTCACATTGGATTACATAAATAAACCAAGCAATGGTAAGCTCTTGAATAAAAAATATATATCAAATTATTATGATAAATTGACAAAAGATTTGCCCGAAATTCTAGTTCATATCAAAACTTTTCTCAATCCATAAAAATTACTATATAAACGAAAGTTAAATTTGAGAAAATAATGAAGTCTAGACAGTTAAAGCATTTTATGTCATTTTTCAGATTTAGACTGCAATGAGAGTCACAGCCAACGCAACGTCTATAATTGACCCAAGGAGTATTGAATTAAATATAAGCCGAGTGAGGGAAAATAACAAAGGGACACTGGTCTATTTATGCAATATTTACTTAACAATTTGAAGGCGGCCAGGCAGAAGGACGAATCTAGCAGCTCTGGCACATTCAGTCAATTGAACTGGTGCCTTTAGTCGGGTCTATTACCATATGCTCTGATGCAGCTGTTGGCTGAAAGCGTGAATCGAAGCGGAAAGAAGTCTATTTAAGCATTGGACAGAGCAAAGGCCCCACAGTCCCAAAACGTCGCGGCTCCACTCTAATTGCAGATGAGCGGCGGCGGCTGTTGTCGGCTGTCGAATTGCGCAAACGAATTGTGCGTGGGACTTGCAAAGAGCATCTAACTTAATAGGGAAATCCTTTGTCTAACTAAGGGCGTCGCATTCCTAACTGCTCCTAGCCACGCCCCAAACGGCGAGGGCGGCGAGATGGCGATAGAGATAGAAATGGAGATGGAGACGGAGAT